AGGATCCAAGAGTTAGGAGACAGCTGGGAGCATGTGGGGCCACACTTAGAGGGTCTGTGACTTGACAGGCTTTGAAAATTTAGACTTGATTTCTCCAGGTAATGGAGATCCATTACGTTTTAAGGGTCTGGGGTTTGGGAGTGACCTGGGAGAAGGTGGTGAAGTGGTCCTGAAGAACAAACCTGGCTACAGTAACTCAATGCTCCGCTGACTGCAAGTCATAGAATGTGACCTGCAGTAGCTTAAGCAAAATACCTTTATGCATTCATGCAAAAGAAAGTCTAGAGATAGGTTTTGGTAGTGTGACAAGATCCAAATCTACTGATGTAGTATGTAACTGCCACACAATACCTGCCTGACATTGTTGACTTAAAAAGCCCCAATAGATTTGTTTGGCTCTAAGATCAGGTGGTGCTACTGAATAGGCTGTCTGGTGAGAACCGCTGACAGCAACACTTTGTATTTGAATCCCAGGAGGGAGCAGGCTTAGGTAGGTCTAAACAGAGCAGAGCAAGTGAAGAGGGCCCCAGAGTCCTTTCAAGAACATCCTCCAATGACCAAAAGACCCCCCACAAGGCCCCCACAAGGTTCTTAAAGGTACAGAGCACTTTTATTTTCATACTGTGATTAAATCTTAACTTATGCTTCTAGGGGGAATAACTGAATGAGGAACGGCACCCAGACAACAACTGGTCTTCCATTGGCTTCTTCTTCCATGAGCACAAGAGAGCTAACAGAGAAAATGAATTAAAATGTTCCTGTTTGGGCTGGTGAGATGGCTCAGCTGGCAAAGGCACTTGCCACCACGTCTTATAGTTTTATCCTTGGGGCTGTTGTGGTAAAGATAATAAACTTCTGCAGGTTGTTCTCTTACCTCGACATGAGTGACCCCCCAAATAAATTGGTTGTTTTTATGCAAGTGGACAAGAACTTTCTGGGTCTACACCAAAGTTTGTCCTCCCTTCTTCCTTCCTTCCTCCCATTTCTTTATGTTGTATTATAAATTGAACCCAGACATCCCACATGCTAGGCAAGTGCTCTACCATGGAGTCAAATATCCCCCCCCAGAGTTTACTCCTCAGACGTCAGGCACATTTGTCTCCCCTTTCTGCTGGCTCTAACTCATATTAAAGCTCACCTTTACTACTCATCACAAACACAAAGACCCAGCAGCAGCCTCTCCTTCCAGCTTCCCACGATGTAGTACTTTGGACATTTCTACACATGTCTCTTTTCCTAAGGTGACTTCAGAAATTCCTCATTGGCTCGTCATGAATGACTGACACCAATCAGCCTGCTTGGTGGGTTTGGGACTCTGAAACCAACCGGACACTGGGTCTGGGAATGAGGCTGATCACCCAGGTCCCGCTGTCTCAAAAGCCTTTCGGAATTCCCAGGATCGGAAGGGGTTAACATGCCATGTTCACTACCTTCCCTCACATGCCAAAGCTGAAGGGTTTTTCTTCCCCATGGTCCAATCGGTGATGGACACAGGATGCTTGGCTGTCTGTGCAGGTTGGGCTGGTGACCTCATTAACTCCTAAATGGGCTTTTCAACTGGATTCCTCTCCTGAACAAAGTCAAATGTTAAAAGGGTCAATATTGATGGTGGGACTAAAATAACCATCTCTACTGTTGCAGTGTATCGGAGGCTGCTGGGGCAAACAAAACAAAGCAAAACAAAACAACAACAACAAAAACCTCACCGGAAGCATGGTATTAAGGAATATTTCAGAAGAGAGAAAACTTCACTCACACACACACACACACACACGAGAGAGAGAGAGAGAGAGAGCGCGCCAACGGAACAAGCAGTCTCTCCTTCCAGCATCACTTTGGACATTTCTACATAAACCACTAAGGGGACTTCAGGAATTCCTTATAGTCCTGAGACCCAAGAAATTACCACCCCAAACACAAAATACCCCTGCAAGCCTCCAGCAATCCCCATCACCCTGCTCTTTTCTGCACAATCGCCCAGTGGGATTGGAACCCATTAGTACTTTTCCACTCTGGTATGCCAACCAAGGGGGAAGGGAAAAGAGAAAATCAATTTCCTCCGTCATCAGCACATCAACTGTGCTCTGAACTCATGGGCAGGTGGCAGTGTGCACTACATCCATGTCAGGGCTCCCCAGGAGACCCGCTGTGCAGGCACTCCCGGTAATGACTACTTCCAGTGGTTCCCCAGCAGGGCCTGTTGGGAGATATGATCAGGGTGACAAGAAGAAATGAAAACATCCACCCCTGGTATGCAGCCTGTTTCCTTTGCTTTTGGAAATGGTCCAGGGTGTCTGAAGTGACTCTTGCATGGAATATCACAACACCCCCCCCGCCCCCACCGCTGCAGCCAAAAGAGGAGAAGAGAAGGAAAGGAAGGAGATGGGAGGCCTATCCTGTTGGCTAGAAAAAAAGTATGTTGTAACTGACAGGGAGCAGGTGGATTAAAAAGGCCCACCTGCATTTACTTCCCAGAAGTAGATGCATTTTTTTATGTAGATAAGGCAATAGTCTATGCACATTCACCAGAGTTCAACAGAGTCATTTGTGAAATCATCTAGGGACCCCACTAAGAATCTGGAGTGGAAACAGGGCTGCTGTGGGCTCGCAACCGCAGAGCGCAACAGCTGGATGGCCCGGGGCTATTAATTTGCCTAATCTAAACCTCCCTCCACAGAATCCATTAGAATTTAATAGCAGCCTTCTATCCGCATAGTATGGTTCCATTCTCCTAAGTGATTCCCTGTGCACTCATGGTTCCTTGCAGGAACACTACAATTAATTCACCCAGCACTTCCTCACTGCCTTCTGAACCACAGGAAGAAGACTGCAGTCAGCAGGAAACAGTGTTCCTCAGCCACAGAAAGCCTCAAGTCACTGAGGCACAGGGCCAGCAGATACAGCTTTGTGAACCACGGGACTCTTGCTCTTGGCAGTGAAGCCCAGCTAGGTGACCACTTAAACTGCATTCTATTGAAGGTCGCCAGGATATGTGTGCCTGCTCCAAACTGTGTCTCTGGGTACCAAAAATCTAAGTGGCCCACATTAGATGTGGCTGGAAGATGCTGTGCTAGGAGGGGCGGTAGCTGGACCGGCTGGAACTCTGCCCTCCTCTCCCATACACACAAAAGAGTGCCAGGTGCTGCAGTGTGACCAGAGTCTTGGAAACAACACAGCTCGCAGAGATACTTCCAAGGGAGGAGAATATCACCCCCTATCAAGCATGGCAACCCAAATCAACCTAGGACAGCAGAGAAGAGGACTTACTTAACACAGGTCATAGAACACCTAGGAGACACCTCCTCTCAACTTCCCAGGGGGAAGGGACAATCAAGTGGCAAATAAGCCCCCAGGAAGGCTTAACTGAAGGAAGGAGTCCTTGTTCATAACGCCCCCACCCTCTGCGAAGTGGGACTTGTGGGTCTCTATTCTTTCCTATCTTCCCTTTTCTGATAGTTTATTTTGTCTTTCTCCCTTCTAATCAATTCTACTGCCCCGGGTCTTACACAATGCCTCCACCCTATGTAGGCAGGTCAGGAGCACAGTTGAAAACCCACACCTTCCTCCTTCAAGCTGCGGGCTTGGACTGAGCTCTTAGAAGATGCCAAGGACAGTTTCGTGAGCTCTGCATGCCTGTATCCACTTGCTCAGCACAGTAATCCCTAGCAAACAGACGCCGCCGTAACTAGGGCTATTTACTTGCAAGTGAGGACGTCAAGGCACCAAACCTAGGAAAAAGGACCCCACCCCCATGAACCCAAGATCACACAGTTGCGGAGAAGCGCCGCAAATTCTCACCCACATTACAATCTCCTTCCGATGAATGAACAGCTAGGCAGCCCTAGCCTCCTCCACTGCAAAGGTTTATCCCCAGAAGCAGGCTCAGCTGAAAAACGAAAAGACCCCTGCGCGCCCTCTCTCTCCTCTTAACATTTCACAGAAAAGTTTCCAGAAGAGATACTTCGTGTCCCAGTGAGAGGACACGAACTAATAACCTAGTTTTTAGAAATGCCCTTTAAACCTACTGTTTAGGATCTATGACCCGCACTCTGTAAATTCCGTCTCCACTAGTCTCACCTCTCTATTAAAACAAGGAGGGCCAGAAAAACCGCAAGGCTAATCTAACCAAACCAAATCCCCAGCCCCAAACTGCTTGGGGGACCGCTCTAACTCAGGTTCCCACTGAGCCCAGCTCGGGACCGCGCGGTTGCCTGTCCATCCACGAGGGAAAACCCGTGGCGAGCAGGCAGGAAGGGCGGGGATGTGGATGCTACAGAGCCAGGCTCTGCGGATCTGAGTCCTGGCCGCCCCAACCAAGGCTACAGTATATGCTATCCCTAATCCGCCGTGCCCCTCCCCCAGCCTCCCTAAATCCCACCTCGAGTCCCACGCCCTTAAAGGAAACGGTGGCTCTGCCCGACCACCCGCAGGGGGATCACCACCTCTCTCCACCGCGCACCGGACTGGGGCTCTTCTGGGCACCGCCACCCACGTCCTCTCGGTGCACGCCCATCGCCTAGTCCCCGGGGTTGACCCCACGGGCTTTAGGCCTCCCGGGAGTTCGTCCCTAGCTTCGCCCACTGTTCCCGCAGAGACCCTCTCTTGGGGCGGTGATCCAGTGCCCGCGTCGCCTCCTCCGGAGTCTCTCAGGCCGATCCGGCCTCCACCCAGCCCGCTGAGGTCCACGTGGCTCGACAGTGCTATATTGGGCTCGCAGGAAGCCCCAAGCAAGGGGAAAGCCGAGCCGAGGCCGGGCGGGAGGGGTGAAGGGGCGCCGGGGCTCCAAGGGGCGGGCGCTGGGCGGAGGAAGGGGAGGGCTGCGCGCCGCGGAGGCGGCCGCGGGGCTGGGCGCGTCCAAGTCGCCGCTTGGTCCCAACGGCGGGAGAAGGCGGCCCCTCCCCGGACGCCCCGCCTCCGACTCCCGTTACACCCGGGGGAAGGTGTTCCAGAGGCCTCTCCCATCCTCACCCCGCCTCCCGCTTCCCCGGCGCTAACCTCCGCCGGCGGAGCCCACTATGCCAGACACTTTCGACACTTTGCAAAGACAAAGAGCCCTAGACCGGAGGGAGGAGAGAGGAGGAGGCAGAAGAGGAGGTAGAGGAGGACCCGGAGGTGTGAGCTGGCCGGGGTGAGTATCCCGGACACATCTCCTTAGATACCCCTCCGAACCTCCTGAGTGCCCCAAGCCGGACAACTCCGGCGTGTCTCCGGCGTTGGGTGAGTGCGCACCCAGCTGGTCGCTGTCCGGGTGCCCCAGGGACGACTCCCCCTCGCGAGTTGGGGCTCGGGAAATTCCGCATGTGTTCTCTAAGTGCAGAGGTGCTTGTCCGGACCTCGGAATAGAAGGGGTGGGGAAGGGGCTAGGAAGGTATGACAGTAGGAGTGAGACCTAAGACCCTAGGCGCCAAGAGGGAGACACGAGGAGAGAGATCTCTGTCTCAGTCATGGCCACCACAGTGGTCTCAGGAAGAGTGTCAGGGAAGAGACTCCAGCTCTGACGTTCCAGGCTCTTTGGCGCTTACTGGAGAAGCCTCCCGGAGCTCAGAGAGGGAGCCTACGGTGATTGAGGCAGCGATTCCCGGAGCGGCCGCGGTGACATTGCACCCAATACCGCAGTAGATCCTCACCCGGGTCGCGGGTAGGAGACTCCATCAGGCGCTGATTGCCCACACTCTCTAGAGAAACATATGTCTTGGGCTGGGACATTGTGGGGAATGCTTGGAGGCCGTTGGTTATTTAGATCAGAGGTAGTGGGACAGTATCCGGATGGAGTATCCCAATCCGCTGTGAGCAGGCGCAGACCCAGGAGGAGGCTTTTGGCCCCCAGGACACCTCTAATCCCGCGTTGCTTCGGATCTCTGGGAGAAGTTGGCGCTTAGGACAGGACAACTGGATAAGGTGTTTTGGAAAGTGGGTGGCTTAGCGTTGGCAAAGGGAGCACGGAGAAGGCAACTCGAAACTTGGGAGTCTGCTCCAACCCCGTTAAACGCCGCAACTGCCAAGAAATAAATGTGACAAAAGTTAGCAACTTGTCTGCATCTCCATAACGTGACCAGCGCAGGGCACGATCCGCCCCTCTGATAAGTGCACCAGGGTGGGGAAACGGTGACACTGTACAAGGCGAGTACTGTTAGCTCCGAATCGGACCGTTGCGCAAGCAACTTTCAGTCCTCGGAGTTTTTGTTTGTTTGTTTGTTTGTTTGTGAGGGTTTGAGCATGACCTTGCGGGAGGCAGCGCGTCCGAACCCGAGCTGGGCATTGAGTAGACCGGTGCCCCCTTCGTGGTATAGGTCAGGCGTCTTCGCCCTGCCTCACGGCAAGGTTTCAGGAAAGGGTGCCCGGACTCATCCCCCCCCCCCACCCCGTCTGCTGAAACCTGGAGTTTCTCCAGCCTCTTGCACAAGGGTCTTAGCCAGCTCCTACCGCCAGTAGGAATTAGTGGCACTCCTAGAGGACGTGCGCGCTCTGGAGTGCTCGAATGGGTGGGGGCTGGGCTGGCCACGGCATCTCGGAGGTTGATTCCCAGGAGACATCAGTGACCCCCGAGGACAGGAACAAGCTGCTCAGTTGCCACATCAGGCATTCTCCAGACTTTTACTGTGTTTATGGGCCACCCTCTCCTCTCCCAGTTTACCACTGTCGCGCGTCCCCACGCCCACATGGACTTGTGGTGAGACGAAGCGCCCACCCTCTCTGCGGCAGGTGAGGGGCGCTCCCGAACAGAAAAGCTGCTAGGAGCAGGGGACGAGGCTATGAAATCTCTGCCGTCGCTCCTGGCACATAATAGATGCTAATACTGTACTCAGTGAAAAGGCCTCTAGGACAGAAGGCTCTAGCCAGAGTCAGAACACCCCTCGTCCCTTATCATTACTACTAAATTTAAATTAATCCAGCGGCTTCTAGGAGCGCGCTGAGCACCTACTACCTCCCTCGCTAAACCAGTGTGCGTGTTTCTGGAAACTGCGGGCGGTGTCCCCTGATTTTCTTTCTTGGATGATGGCCCAGAGCGCCCCCACGTTTGAAAAGGAGAGATGCACTGCCCTCTGCCGGCTGCTTTGGAAACAACGGCTAGGCTAAGCTGTGAGAAAGGGAGACCAAAGCCTCAGGGTTGGGCCCCTGAGCCTCCGTGTACTTCCCCTTCCTGTCCCAAACATCAAAGTCTTGTCATTTTCTGAACTTCCGTGATTGGCTGAAAAGAAAAAATAACTAAAATTCACCGTTCTGTGTCTTATGCGTGCGCCTAAAATTGGATGTAGTAGGATGGAGCCTTTCGCTGTAAACATGTGATTTCGCCTCTCAGAGTCTCAGTTTCCTTTTCTGTAAAGTGGAGCCGTTACTACAGGCTCCAGAATGAGTCCTGCAGAGTAGATATTATGCATGACTGTGTGGATGTGTACCGTGCTAACATATGCTTACAGTATCCTTCTGGGTGTGCGTGGATGTGGACAGGAGCTGACTAAAGGAATGAAAGAATCAACAGTGGACTTCTTCCCTGTCCTTTCATTTCCATCCCCTGCCTTATTTGTTGAGATCATGCTGACCATCAAAGCCAGGGCCTGGGCTTAGCAGGAGCTCCCCTCCCCACACTGACTTTGCTTCAGGCAGCAACATTCGACCAGATCTGGAGCTAGAAAACAGGAAGTGTTACAGGATGTGACCAGGGAGGTTTCTCTAAGGGTGTGAGCTCCCTTCAGCTGGCTTCTGTAGCACCAAGCAGAAGCTGACTTTTTCTTAGCTATTTGTGGATGGTGCTGGTGCTGGTAAGATCTGCAGGCGCTGGCTGTCACCACTCCAGCCAGTTGGGACCTCTGAGCAGTTGGCTGTCAGCAATGTCAGGAGTCCTTGATTCCCCCAGGGAATCAAGTTATTCATCTGTGAGCCTGGAAGAAATGGATGCCATGAGGGGTCCTAGATCCTCAGGTATGACCTTGTGACAAGTGAATCTCCATCTCTCCTTCCACCAAGCAGCCTATCATGTCAGGACTCTGACCTAGAAACAAGTGTCAGGCAGGCTTCACCAAAAAGGACCCCCCCCCCAACCAGATGTGTGCCTTTGATACCCACCCAACCCCCCCGACCCCATCAATTTACCTGTCTGGAGCTGATGGCTCAAGGGTTTGTGTTTGGACAGGGCTTTTGCTTTGTGGAAGCTGAACCTTAGCTCTCATCCCAAGCCCTTCCCAGTCTCCAAAAAGCAAACAGAAAAGAAAAGAGTAAAGTTCATCAGTCAACTTGTCCTTGTACAATGGTCTCTTATCCAGGTATTGCCCAAGATCCCCATAGATATCCAAGACCTTGGCTCCCATGGGGTGCGATGACAAAGTCCAAATTTTAAACTAAGCACAGCAAGATTAACCGTAACTAACAATGAGATAGAACAATTAGAGCGATATTCAACAATACTAGTTGCTTCAAACCTATCGTTTTAAAACTTCTAGAATTCTCTATGTCATATTTCTTGAACTTCCGCTGATTGTAAGTTACCGAAAATTGGAAAGTGAGACCAGTGACAAGGGAGACTTCTAGAGGACTTGTCGCTGACTGCTTTGTGCACGGAGAGCTGGCCTGGTCGGAAGAAATCCAGAAACAGACTTTCAGGTCCTTTTGACCCACATGGAAACTGCATTCCCCGTCACTAGCCTGAGAACCTGAGAGCTGGTGTGTTCTATTTTGGTCAGAAGAACCCAGACGTGACCCCGGTGAGAGCCTGCCTTTGAGTCTCGGTGCCAAGGCTCAGTTGCTTTGCAACGTGGCACCCAAGCTGTCCTGGGTCCTGGGTCTCAGTTTCACCCTGCGGAAGGAGAAGCGGCTGCGGCGCTCTATTGACTGTCACCGGGGGCCTCTTTGTGAAGACAGTCCCCAACTTCCTTATGTTTGTTCAGATGTTTCCTCAGAACTAGGCTGCTCGGGGAGACTGGAGCATGTTACCCCCAGGTCACAAGCGCCTCCCTTCTCGCTGACAGGGAGGCTTCCTGTCTTTGTGAACCCTCTCTCACTTGGTCAGGCGTCCGCTACCAGTTTTCAGTGCTGGGTTTTGAGAGATGGTTTCTGACACCCGGCTGTGCATTTATTGCCATGTCTTGGGGTGCCTGTGTGCAGATTGCAAAAGAGACCAGGAAGACCTCCTTGTCCATGAACTGAAAGTGATCTCGGACATTATTCTGTTCTATCCATTTGCTTTAATGCAAACCTGTGGCCTCCGGGAAACAGCAGTAGAATGGTATGTAAACCCTTTATGCTCCCTGATCTCCAAACCCATTCATTGCCATCCGCTCACTTCTTGAAGTTCTTTTTGGAGACCCATCATCACCTATCATTGGAAGGTCTGGAATTTACTGCTTCTCAGCTTACGTTGGTGGGGATGGCTAGATTGCTATGATAGCCAGTGTTTACGGGGACTTTGTTTTGTTCCAGATACCTCAGAGGGTGCTAGAGATACCAGGAGTGGAAAAACTTGAACTCTTGCTGTCCCAGAGGTCTCAGTACTCTGGGGGGAGATGCGTGGGATGATAAAGAACCATGGAGGTGTGGTATTTAACACAACCAAAGCCACTTGTGCTGAAAGGGCCACCAGATAGTGATTCCCCTCTTCTTGAGGGGTCCATAGAAGGAATCCTAGGGGTTACTAAGCCTCCGGAATGCAGGATTTCTGCTATTGGTCTGCAGCAGAGCCCATGCCGTTTCTTGAATGGTGTCCTACAGATATCAAAAGTGTCGCATCCTGTGTATGCAAGAAAATAGAGCCACTAAGATGACAGGCTGCCTCTGGCTTCTGCAGAAAGAGGCGAGGCCACTGGAGGTGACAGGAACTAGGTACTTTGGCCTCAGAGTCCTTTACTGTGTCCCTTTCTCTGGCTGGTTTGTATGCTAGGACGGTTGGAGCCTGCAGGGCCCTCGCTGAAAGCCTCAAAGGGTAGGGCTACAGGCCTCACCATGGTTGTGTGTGAAGCTGAGAGGCTGCGCTGGATTTGCTTTGAAAATGTATCTTAATGCTCTATTTTGAATATTTGGCATACACCTGTACACATACCTCCCATGTAGATTTGAACAGCAGATTCGGGAGGTTGGAGTTCAAAGGACGCGGCAGCCAGCAGTGAGAGAAAGTGCTAGCTCTCAGGGGGACACAGC